GCGGGTGAGGGAAGAAGACGAATTCATGGAAAGATTGGGTGGAGGGTGCCGTCCCGTCACCAAGGCAATAACTGATCTAGGTTTAATCCTTGGGGAGAGAGAGTAGAGAAAGCGTTAAGTGCCTTATTGCTGCGCGTTTACATTTCACAAGAAGGCTGAACAGAGAGAGAGAGAGAGAGAGAAAGAGAGAAAAGACAATATTAAGACATGCTGAAAAGACGGACTGGCGAATCATTCCCATCTCCCAGTGGGATTATTTCTCCCCTCCCCGCGGAGTGCCAACCAGCTCTTCCCCCACCAAGCCCAACGTTGGAGTTCCTCTCATTCGCACTTTCAAGATGGCCGCGCGCCCGCGCCACCCTCCACGCGCAAGCTTCCAAACACGGGAGCCTTAGCTTTGAGCTTTGCCTAAGCAACTGCGGAGGAAGGAAAGCGCCTCACCCACGCCTTGCAGATGCTTCAGCGCTGCCGCCGCAGACTCGGAACAGCGGGACGAGTGAGGAGGAGGAGGCGCCATCACCACCGAGCCAGACCGCGCGGGCGGTTACTATGACAACCGGAGGCGACTGGCTTGCGCGTGCCTCGCCAGACCCGCTGGATGTTGCTGTTCCAAAGCCGCCGAGAAAAATGACAGGGGCGGATTTAAAAAAAATGCTCTTTTGTCTTTTTATTTTTCTACTCCTCTCCCTTCATTTGGAACCGAAAAACTGCAATAGGCTCGGGGGGCGGGGGGGTTGCAACACTGGAGAGGGCCTTTTAGTAAATATTATGAAAGGATAGTGGATTTCTTATGATTCGGTAACCTATCAGTTATATGCATGTTTTCTTGCGTTTAAATAATTACTTATATCAGAGTTTACTTAAATAATAATAATATACAAGTAAAGGCATTTTTGTTTCCAGATGGTTGCTGAAACTGCAGTCTTGTTTATGTGATTTCCTATGTCTGTAGTTAATCTAGGAATGAGCTATAAAATGATAACATGGGCATTGCACAGAACTGTGAATGCATTTTTAGCTGATACTTTTTAGAAATGCAACCAAATCCATTATACTTAGTATAAAATCTTTTTAAAAATGAAAATTACTTCAGTAGTTCATCTAGGCACCTTAATTTGAGAAATGTATTCAAAAGAGGCTCTTAAGGATAAATAAATTTAACATGATTAACAGGGTCTTTAGGTAGAGTGCCCAAAGCCATACATGTATATGCATACACACACATAAAATATAAATTATTAAAAGACACAGTAAAATAATAGCTAAAACTTCTTTATGGACCAAAAGCTTGCTGAAACAACACAGCTTTGGCTAGTTTATGGAATGGCCGGAGGATATGGTATTTTGGTACTCTAAGGCAGGGGTGTCATGCCAAAACTGCGCCCACCACATTGCCGGCAATGGAAAAAAAGTTGTGATACGTCATGACACATCACGTGACATTGCGAGTTTGATACTCCTGCTCTAGGGAGAGAAGGAATGGGGCTGGTGCTGAGATGGCTTATTATCCCTGGGTGGGGATAGCAAAAAGATCAAGAAGCTGTCTGCAGTCATGTGATGGAAGTCCTGTTCCTTTGCATGCAACACATATTAAAAGGAGTGGGCTCCAGTTGTGCAGGCACAGCTACCATCTTGGCTTTTTCACTTCTCTCTGGATATTCCTGCAGCTCATGTACTTCCAGTGGAGGGAGAACTCACAATAGATTTTTGTATTAGACACAGACAACATGACATCTTCAGGACTCTTCTGTACCACCTGCTAACTAGAGACTGCTGATGCTTCAAGAAACAACCTGGAGGACATGAACACTTGTTATTGCCTTCAGCTGACTTTCAGCCTACTGTGGATGTAGCTTGTGCATACGTCTTCCTGTTTTGTTTCTGCAGTGATGCTCCCTCATACTGATTGGTACAAGTTTAGTGCAGTCTGCGGTGAATAGCATGGAGGTAAGTTTGCTAGTGGTGGGTTGTCCTGTTTCTGTTGGCCATCTGAAGACAAGGTAGATACACCCACAACTCTGGTTCCAGATTGATTTGGGGGAGCTGTTTGCCTATTGGCAGGAGGAGGATCAGGGCTTTCCCCACTGTACCAAATTGTCATCTCTCCCACATGTCAACCCATAGAGGAAAGGTTATGGAGAGAAAGAAGAATGGGGAGATCTTTTGGGCGCCAGTTCTAGCACCAGGAAAATCCCGTTCCCCCCACCAAAAGGAGAGAACCTAAGGGATAAGAAAAGAAGTTAATAACCAGTAAAGAAATGATATCCTTATCCTTATTCTCTGCGCACATTGTTGCCAGGGAGAAGGAGAAACTGGGAGAGAAGCAGCTTTTATGCCAGGAGCTGTCCCCAAACAAAACATCCCTGCCACCTCTCTCCTTCTTTCCTCTACCCCATAGTCTGGGTACAAACAGAAATCTGCTTCATTACTGAAGCAGAACAAGGATGGAAGAATCTTATTTAACATTTTTTTGAGAAGACATACTTCTTGGTCAGTTCCTGAACTAGATGACAGCATTTAACTGCTGCTGTGCATAATAGGTACAAGAAACAAACACTGCAATCTATCCTCGTTTTATTACTGAAGCCAACTGCTTGGAAAACTAATAGAAACTATTTTGCAGGAGTCATCTTTGATGAAAAATATGTTTGTACTGATTGCAATGATAGTATATTTTTTCATAAATTTTAACCGTGTTGTCAAAACTCTTGTGTGTTATCTAGAGCAGGGGTCCCCCACCCTGGGCCGTGGACCGGTACTAGTCTATGGTCTGTTAGGTATTGGGCCACGCAAGTGGCAGCGAGCGAACAAAGCTTCATCTGTGCATCTGCAGGATCTAGGTTGCATACAAAAGTACCACCATCCCGTCTGTAAAAACATTGTCTTCCACGAAACTGGTCCCTGGTGCCAGAAAGATTGAGGACCAGTAATCTAGAGCATGGGCTGAAAGTTAAACCATGTAACATTACACAGTTGAAGAAACTTGGGGAAAATATTTACAGTATTCAATGGATTTATATCCTTTCCCCCCAAAACTCCAAGTTAAAGCCCCAGTTTCTTCAGGTAATATGTGGAAAAAGTGAGCCTTAAACCTACTTCCAGTCAGTGTAAACATTACACTGAATTAGACAAACCTTGGTTTGTAAGGCAATTTTTCATGTTCCTGTTTTACAAGATGGGATCTTTTTCATGCTAAACATATGAAATTGTCCAATTTATTAAAAAGACATTCCAAAAATATTTAATACATTCTTGAGATTGTAATTCTATGTTTCTCTGATAGTACATAACACTGAATCACAAAACACCAATGTGATAAAAATGGGCGGGTCTATTGTACTGGCATGTATGTCTGTAAATCATATTTGACATAGCCATCTCCAGATCCAGTAATGAACTGGCTTCCTTGGCAGTTGGAATCAATAAAACTAGATTTCTGAAAGATATTACCTAGTCCCCGTGCTGCTCAGAAAATGTTACCTGTTAAAGACAGATTCTTCAGCAGAATCTATTGCTATTGACAATTTTGTGATAGGCAGAAAGCAGTACAATATATAAATTCATAGTATTTATGTGATAATGACTGTGAGCAAAATGGCAAGAAGACCTTCCTTTTAACATTTAGTAACATTTATTTCTGCATTCAGTATCAAGTACATAAGTGCAAATATTTAAGAATCCATAATTAAATCCTACAGAGAACGTCATACAAATTTGTGATACGTATTACAAGCTGGAAGTCTTAATTTTCCCATACATGTAATCAGACCACTGATCCTTGAAGAGCAAAAAAAAAGAAAAAAGAAACCCAAAAAAGAAAACAAAACAAAAGGTACTGGGTGTGTAGGTTTTATTTTCAATTTCTTAAGAGAGTTATACAAAATGAATTATGCCATTTAAGTACGGATTACTCCTTGGCTTGTTTTTTAATTAGATGAGCCAAAAGAGAAACAATGACACCTGAAGACTCAGTCTATGATTCTAAATAGTCAAAGATAAAGCCAACCAGCAAACCCAGTGGACATAGAAGCAAAACTGCATCAGTGCACTAAGCAGGAAAGCCCTAGCCACATGTAACATTCAGAGTTATTTAAGCGATGCCGATAGAAGAAATGATAGTAGAAGCACTAGATAATAAAAAATTGAAAGTTCAATAGTAACTTTAGATTCTCACCATCATGCACTTAAGAAGCAACACAAGAACCACACCTAGAACACTTTTCTCTTTACTATACTTTAGTGCTTGACACACATGATTGCAAATAGTCTAAGAGTACAGAAACAGCAGGAGAAGTGTGGGGGAGAGAAGCTGCTTCATTATTTCACATCTCTGAGATCATGGCGTTCGAAAGAAAGAAGAGTGAAGACAAATATAACACGTTCAGAGCAATGGTGTCAGTCATTCCAGCAGCACCCTCACTAGATGGTATCCAAACATCCCTTTTTTCCCCCCAGGATGGAACTGGAAAAGAAAAAAACAGTTCTGCAAATTTGAAGCAGAAGCCGGCTGTGCACAGTGCTGATTGGCTGCTTTCTCATGATGTCACTCAAATGTTTTCTTCTCAATCCCTAAAATAACTTTACATTTTCAAAGAAGTAGTATGTTGTGTGGATATATAGGTAGATAAGAAGAAATGAATAAAAAATCATGAACATTTATGCAATGCTCTCATTATTTTTTGGATAGCTGGGCAGCCAGCCTCAAGAATAGGGCAAAAGAGACTAAAGGCAGGTGGCTGAGCCCATTTTCGTGGCATTGATGCCTGTCATTTCGGTTGTGAATTTCAGAGGAAGCCAGGCTCAACCTAGGGTTGAGGGGCATGCTGCAACACTGTGAGTTTTTCCATTTTACATCTGCCTTCACCCAGAGAGAGAAAGAGAGAGAGCAAGCAAGAAAAAGAGAGATGGATAATAAATTATAAGTAAAAAGAACAGGGCTGTTTTCATCCCAGACTCTCTTATCATTCACTCCTGTAGTTGATAGATTCTTGCTGCTACTTTTATTCAGCCTTCCTCTTAGCGCCTGGGATTTTTGCTTGAATTCTGGAGGTTGAAAAATAGGAATACAAAAACAAAAATGAAAATTAGACACTCAGTATACCTGTTTCACTACATAATTAATTTTCTCTGCTTGAAACTAATCATCTGGTAGAATTCCTTTCACTCAGAAACATTCATTATGAGCTACAGTTGTCACACATGGAAAGAGCTTCTTTTCTATTTAAAACATGGACAGTTTCACAATCTCTGAGGAACCTTTTCTGAATTATTGCATTGCATACCCCTAAAAGAAAGTACATCAACAGATGAAACTTAGAGGAATAATTCTTTTCCAGGGCAGTAGGAAACATTTTGCTGTAGATGTCAAAGGAATTTTTAAGGAGGTGTTATCCCTAATAGTTGCAAGAGGGTGAATCACAAAAGATTTTGGGAGAAATTTGGGGCATTAAAAATAATGGAGTGATCTGGAACAATGCAGGAGGGATATGATCATCCATAGAGCTATAGTTATCGCTCCTTCAATAGCCAATTTAATGTAATACTGTCATTATGTCCTAAACCAGGACAGAATACATTTTAAATCTGAAAAAAGTACTGTACACATTCCTCAAACTACAAACTGGAGCCAGATTCAAAATTGACTTCAGATTAAAATACAGATATTTTAATACCTAACCTCAACTGAGCTAAGAGAGAAGTCACTATCCAAAGCTTTCTTTATATTAGATGTCTACCTGGGGGGTGGGGGGGGTAACTTTCTTGGTGCTAAGTAGTTGCTGTCCTAAGTAACTGAAGAACGCTGATTTATGTGTCCCTAATACTAAGTATATAGAAATCTAGCAAGAGTATTCTATTCATCCTGGTATTAAATAACTTGACTATTTTACTCACTTTGCCACAACGGTATTTATGTGGGTCCTCACAAGCCCCAAGTATTGATCAATCTGTGCCTGAAAAAGAAAGAAAACAGAAATCAATGGGGAATCAATTATATTGATATATGCATTTTTACATTTTATAGAGGTGATTTTTACTAAGCTCTTGTTGAAAGAAAAGTCTTCATCAGGGTCCAGTCCAAGCCGGTAATAAACAACATGGAGATTGCTTTAGAAAGAAGACTGTAGTTTATTGAAGCGGAGAGCCAAACAGAAAGATGGCTCTGGAAAAACTGACCACATGTAATAGGGAGTGGTGGGCTTTTATACCTTCTTAAGCTTTTGTTTAGAGTTGTTCCTGTGGCCTGAACTTTGACCTGAGTCTGAGTGTGCCTTTCTGGTATTCTGATGGTGGTGGGTTAATCCTATTATGTCCCAAAGGTCATATCCTGCTTCCCTAGGGCTGTGGCTGATGACTGTTGGATTTTTGGTGTGAGGGATTGTTGATTCTAGGGATCTTTCTTTCTAATCCCAGCTTCCTGACTCCAATCTTTCTGACAAGATTATCACATCTGCATTTCTGCAGACCCGGTTTCTGTTTGGGACAGAGAGACTTGGGGGAGGGGTTTGGTTTCTGCCTTTAAAATACTTTGGGGAAATATATTCTGCCTTTTTAATATTTCCCAAAATATTTCTTTCTCTGGATTCTTCCCACACTCTGTTTGTCTGCCATATTCCCCAACAGTTAACATTTGCAGCAACCCTTATGAAAATATTGTTGCAATCAATCAAAATAGGAAAAATACACTCACTATCAAGTAGAAATTATTTTCCAACCCTATGGATTATATTATCATTAATTAATTATTAATTATGCAGCAGGGATAAACCCAAACCAGCTAGCAGGTAATAAATGAAAGCAAAAAAACCCAAAAACTGGTATCTGAAGCCACAATCTTGTAATCATTTACTTAAGAGAAAACAGACTGAATTCAAAATTGACATTTAAAAGGGCAACATACAGAATCTATTGGGAGAAGATTTCAGTCTTCCAAATAGTCTTATTATAGTAGCTATTGTTGAACGAAGGAATTTCAAGGAGAGAACCAGTTTCAAACTACCGATATATAAATTATCTGGAAGTTCAGTTCTGTCATAGATGAACCAAAATGAACTAGCAGAATTTTATCCCATTACCCATCCACATGCCAGGATGTTTCTGCTATTAATTCATCACTTTGTGAATGGTAGTTGAGATTGTTTTACATGCATTAAGTGTTAAGATTACCATACTTTCTAGCTTCATATTTAATTTCTCTCTTATTCCAAGAATATAAGAGACATGCAGACTTTTTTTTCCAACAATGAAGTGTGTACATACAAATACAAACCAACAACCTAAGACATCATTTTGTATATTTTAAGTGGACTTTAGTCCACAAAAGTGGATACAAAACAAAAGAAAAACCTGGAAACATTTGAAATGACACAAAACTTTATTTCTGCTATAGTAGATTAACATGATCTTTCCTGGAATCAGCACCATCTCTCAGGTGTGTATTGGTGGCAAAAAAAAAACAAACCCCACCCCAAGATGGCAATTTTAGCAATGCAATCAAAGCCCCACTACTGGGGTTATGCATGTTAATGTCTAATGCATGTATAACTGACAGGGCTTTTATGGCCACCATCTTGTGTTTGTTGTCATCTTTTACACTTTTCTCCTTGTAATCTCAAACAGATTTTACAACAGTTCAAACCACACAAGAACTTGAATAACCAGTGCATGTACAAAGATATCAGTGGGACAAATATGTGTATTAAAAATTGATGATGATGATGATGATGATGATTACTACTAACCGTGCCCCTAGCTCCTTATTCATCCATCTATATGTACTACTTATCAAAATGAAATCCATAAATTAAACTTTTTTACATACCTGATACTTGTCATATACCACAGGTAGAGTAAACATTGAAACCACAGCTAGACAGAGGAGAAAAAAAGTCTTAAGCATATTTGCAAGTATAGCACACACTTGTGCTCACCATTCAAAGGCATAACAAGGTTGAAGAATAATTGCTATTCCATTCTACATTTGAATGATTACAAGACATAGAGAGGGAAAGGAAAGACCTGGTACAGTTAGAATCTGATGCTTATCTCTATTAATTAATGAACCATGAATCAATGTATTAATGCCACCAATGCTAATCAATGCATTCACCAGGGCTGATCAGTGTGTAATACTATGATATAATAATGTGAAGCTTGATACCATGACTTTATGGAAATTCACGACATAAAGCTGAATAATGTAGCATGTGAGACTTAAAGCAAGCCAAAAGGCCAGAAATGTTTGTTTTGGAAGATTTTAGTGTGTGCAACACATGGGAAAAAATGGGACACAAAGCAACAGATGGCCTTCTGTTGGTCTATATGAGGAAATGATATACTGAGAGGTATGAGAAAATTCCCAGGATGGGACCACCCTAGCTTTGATGGATTGGCCAACTTTCATTGGAAGGTATAAAAATGTATGGAAACTGAAGTGGTTTGAAGCCATCACAAGCAATGAGCTATTGTGCATGGTAATGGGATACTTCAGTTCTTCTGGGACTGAACTTAGCCTCACTATCTAGCTTTTGAATTGGATAATGTATTCACAGAATACAGGAGTGATGGAGCTTTTCATAAAGGAAGTAAACAATGAAAGTTTATTTCTAGATAAACCTATTCCCAGAGGTTCTAAAGTCTAGATAAGAAAAAAAAAAGTATAGCACAAGTGGTGGCATAACACTTCTTTTAGTGTGACAGTATGAACCAAGAGGCCATGATCTAGACATATCTCAGATTTTGAATGAGATTACATTTCAGTTTAATGTCTTGGCTGTTTTTATAATCATTTCCAAAGTAGAAATGTCACCACAAGAAGTCTTTGTATGAGAGAGAACCGTGGTGGCACAGTGGTTAAAATGCAGTATTGCCAGCAGTTCGATTCTCATCGGCTCAAGGTTGACTCAGCCTTCCATCCTTCCGAAGTCAGTAAAATGAGGATCCAGATTGTTGGGGACAATATCCTCTGTAAACCGCTTAGAGAGGGCTGTAAAGCACTGTGAAGCGGTATATAAATCTAAGTGCTATTGCTATTGCTTCTATCAGCTTGGGTTATTTATTCGTCTAACTCAGTAATGTTAGTTCAGAATATATGACTATAATCTTTTCCCTTGGCCTTTATAACTGCAGTTTTTAGGGAAAAGACATAGAATCTTCTGTAAGTGAAACTAAGTGCTGTGATGGATTGTCTAACGAAAAAGAAGAGGAGCAAAAAGAACCATCAGTTCCGAAGAGGGGGAAGCATGAAAAAGGGAACAACTTCCCCTTAAATATGGTAGGTATAAACTGACCTGGAGAATTGTTTTGATAGACTTTCAAGATTCTACTATCCTATCTTTAGCAATTAAGATATTTCTAGAAATCTAAGTGGTTATTGTTTCCTGAATTCACAGGGTTTGACAAGTCCCTTGCTTGCTACATTCTTGTAAAAAAAATAATAGTATATTTGGACATCCTAAACTGTAATTAATATTGATGTAATACCTCTTTTTTAATGAACAGGTCTAAGTTACCTAAACATTATTCATAATCTTCAATCAATACTGAACAAATAATCATTGTTATTAAAACAATGTAATGAATGAAGATGTACAACTTAATAAAAAATTATACAGAGCAAGTACAGAGGATGTGATAACATGATAATTACTATTGTAATTGTACTATTAAAATTATTTTATTAAGCGAACCTGAGAAGTTGAGAGTAGGGGAACTGGGGGGAAATAAGAGACTGGAAACATAATGTAAGAATAAAATCTAAGTCTCCTGAATTAAAACTTCTAACATAATTATGAGCATATCAGCCACAAAAATAATCAGAAGTGTTAAATAACAAATATGTACTTTCTAAAGAAATTACTGGAAAAAAAACAATTGACAAAAAGAGAGGGACATATTTCACTGAAACCACTCAATCTATTTTAACCACAAAATTATTGTGATACAAATTAAAAGAAATGATTAATTTTACCCATTATCAGGAGAGTTAGGCCATTGAAGAGAGCTCCAACGTAAGTCAACAACCACATTAGTACTGCAAACTGAATTGGAAATAATACAGTAATTACATTTCCCACAACCACACCAGACTACCAACATAACAGTAATGGATATTGGAAATCTTAGAGGTAATGCTTCAGTTTGCCCATTATTATTTCATTAAATACATTTAATTACATTTCTGAGATGAGCATTCTGGTGTAATCAAAGCTTTGTGGCCAGTAGTTAATAAGCTATACATCTAAATCTTGTCTTGAATTTGTAGAGGAAAAGAGGAAGGAAGGAAGGAAGGAAGGAAGGAAGGAAGGAAGGAAGGAAGGAAGGAAGGAAGGAAGGAAGGAAGGAGTTTCCTATTTTTCTGAATCCTTAGAGCTGTACCTTTCTCCCATATTTTTGCAAGTGAAGGAAGAAATAAAAGTATAATGTTATCAAGTAAATTGGCATTTCTGGGTTATTGCACGGAGATATGTGTGTGGGGCGGGGGGGGAGGGAAATACCTTATCTTGAGCATGGTATCTGAAAAATAATATGGCCGTTAATAGGGGTAGAGTTAGGGTTAGGTTGCTTTTAAATGTTAACGTTCATCCAATTCTAAAAATTGATTATTTTGATACTCTACTACTATGCCTAAAATTTTAAGTTTCCACTTAAAAATACCCCAAACTTTATTCCTCTTAATTGAGAACTTGTGTTCTCTAGTGGGTGTGGACTAAGACTGGGGAGAAGTAAATCCACTCTCAGTCATAGAAAGCTGCAAAGTTATTGTGGAGATAAAATGGAAGGAAAAGAGTCCCCTAAAAACTGCCTTGCGCTCCCGTAAAAAAAGTGGAATGCTGCTCATTCGTGTTCATTTTATTCATGCATAAATAAAATGAACATGAATGAAAAATGATATGAACCCTGGGCTCTCAAATGCTAGTGTGTTGAGCCAGATTTTCAGTGTTCAATAAGAAAGAGTTGGGGCCTTTTTTAACTTCAAACTTCAAACAAACGTGCTAAGTGACAGAGATTATAGAACTGAGGGGGGTTTTTTAAAGCACATTATGGCATATTCTGAGAGCTAACAAGAAACAGTGTAGGATAAAACAGCTTCAATTCAAGCTGATTGCAATAAGAACTTGTTATAATTACAAACTAATCTGATCTTTTTTTAAGCATCAGTCTGATCACCATGATACCTCATGACATTGAATTCTACTTATTAATTATATATTGATTTTCTTAAAAGAAATATTTTATTTACTTCTCCAGCACTAGCCATAAAGTTATCCTTTGAAAACTTTAAAGGAATCAATATGGGCACTCAGGGAATGTAACTCTTCAATCATGAATCTGAAGTTCTCCCTTCTTTAAATTCTTGTTTTGTGGGTCACCTACCTTTAAGGAATCTACCAGATCCTGGACCAGAAAAAGCCGCCTAAGCTCTTTGACTGTGCTGTTCACATAGGATTGGAGGCAGTCTGTGTATTTTTGAATCTGTTCCTGGGAGAGAGACATTTCCATTTCCAAGTAGTTTCTGTTGAAAAAGAAAAAAAACAAACCTCTGATTGCACTAGCTGAATTCTTCTCTCTTATACAGAATCTTTGGGTTGCAGACTAAAACATGCCAAGTACAGGGAAAGACAGCCTCTTTGATCATATTTCATTTATTTATTTAAATTCATTACTGTCTTACTTTTAGACCATATATACTGTTTAGAGATGATAGCTTTCAACTGGACAAAGAACTAAAGAGAAAAAAAACCTGTTAATTTCAGGGGCAAGAGCAATGGAAATGGACCCAGAAAAGCCTGGGTAAATAGAAATATTACTAGCCCTTCACAGGGTATCTGGTTCCTTATCCATACTGTCAGCAAATATTATATATGCGATTGTTGTCCATATGAAGTTAAGAAATGTTTGAAGAAGGAAGGAAGTTTTCTCATGAATGATACTGGGCTGCTTTTCCTCCTTATTTGGATGAAAGCAGTCAAATCTAATGTTTAGATTTGGGTTGTCTGTAAAAGTCTATAAATAAGGCAGGAGAACCTAATAGTCTGGAGCCTCTTTCCTTTTGACTTGACTGATCCCACCCAAGCAAGCTCAACAGTTGGCCAGTTAAACCTTAAACATACATAGATGGATATTTAGCCCAAAGGTTAATGTGAAATACTAGTGATTGCTAATTGAACTGGCAAACAATTCAGTTGGACTCAGTCAATTCAAGGATGGAACTGGGTAATGATCAAAGTGGGAATTTATTTCTCACTTTATTTCTCTAAAAATACTTTTAACTTTTTACTAATTGTTGCACTTAGAAACAACCAGAGAGCACTCACTTGAATGGGTGTCCTTCATCAGTTTTTTGCACAGCCTGTAGCACTGATTTGTAGATTCTGAAGCTGATGGTGGCCGAGAGAGCTGCTAATGCCAAGTAAGCAATTACACTGACAACACTGAACTGGGTTAGGGAGAACAATAACAGCAGGATGCTTCCAAACATGATCCCAGTTTGCTTGATGTCACGCCAGTATAAGAGATCAATAGCTGGAGGATGAAAAGAAAACAATTAATTTTCCAGAGATGGCAGAGATTGCCATCACAAATTCATGCATATTGAACATTAGGGCAAGGTTGCAGCCTCATTAAACGATTATAGGAGTATAAAGAATGCCCAGCAGTTCAATCCTATGCAGAGTTAGAGTGCCTACATATGCTGAAATTAATTTGTATTATTTTATTGGAAAGATAACCAAGATTTTAATATCTTTTTCTGCTTTCTTCTTCGGATATGCTTTAATGCTTAACATTATAAAGAAAAGTGTAAATTCTGCTTGCTTAGAGCATGTATCCCCATGCATATTGGCAAACTATTTCTGTGCTTTCAAACAATAATCATTCGGGAACACAAAGACCTAAAGGGATTTAGCTCAAATATGCTATTTACTTGCTTTGTTGCAGAAATTAGCACACTTTCCAAAAACAAAGAGCTATGCTACTAAGTTCAGATTGTTTAATTAACAAATTAAATATCCAGAAAAAATAATAGGGAAGCAATAAAGAAAGAGAAACAAATTTAACCATTAACTTCAGAACACATTTTCAGGGAAGTTTATACAGGAGACTCTTGGCTGCTTATGTATATGAGGAAATCAAATTACCATGAAATTGTCAAACTTGTAGAAGATGGAAAATGAATTGTCTACATGAATAAAGGAGGAGACCCTAGTACACTAACTACAATATATAGAGTAGAAATGTTCTTCAACTTAACTGGACAGAGCACACTGAAAGTGGGACTATTGAATAAAAAAAACAGTCAGAGTCTATGTCCGAATACAGTATCTGTAGACATCTGTGTCCATGGATATGTCCTTTAATTCCTGTTCCCGCCTCTCCCAATGATTTTTATTTGTATATTGTGATTAGCTATTTTATTAAGGAGGCACTATGTTCTCAAAAGACCACTAACCAATTAATGAATTTGTGGATTTCATATTAGATTACGCTATTATTATCAGAACATGGTTTGTGAATTCCTTGGAATTCACATAACTTCATAAAACTTTTACAAATACTACGCATAATTTGCACCAGTATGATGAGGTGTTAGATTTCTATTGAAATCATATCCATTATTTCTTGATACACATTTTATGCAAATTATTATCTTGTTTTTGTGATATATATCCTTGTTTAAATAATTATGTTAACAGGAAACCTGATGAACTATCTACCTGTCACAGTTCAACTACTGATTACACATGGCAGTAAATTAAATTTACAAAAGTGGGTCAGGATGATTTACTGTGGTTAAAAGCTATTTGAATTACAAAAAAATGAACCCAAAAGTAATATATCAATTCTGCTCATCCTGACATTTATCATCCCAGCCATTTCTTGAAACTAAGACTATGGGTGCCTATTTTAATCAGCTGGAGCCATAAATTGGTTATCTGAAATCTAACTATACTTTGAGATGTTCACGAATGATTCGACTATCTTTCTTTCTTTCTCTTCAAAGTACCTCATGACCATAATCAAAAAGAATGACAACAAAAGAGAATACAGCAGTTAACAACAGCAGCAAGAATAGATAACCTTCCCGTCAAAATGTACATCTAAGTGACCACCGTTCTCCATCTAAGCATGGCACAAACAGGTCCTGTGAACAACTTTTTTCTGTCATGTTTTAGTAATGTTGCCTTCACTCTGTCCTAAGCTCATGAGGGGACATCATCAAGCTATCCATAGTTGCTCTGATACATAAGAATTTTCCCCTCTTAATGAAGTAATTTTTTTTACCCATTAATTTGGAGAGAAGTCAGATGACCAGCAATGAGATGAAATAAGCAACAAAGACAGGCTAATGGGCAATGGAGTATGATAGTTGTATAGTTTTCTACCTATTCAAGAACAATAGGTTTTTCAGTTAGTGCCTAAAGGCATTAAAAAAGAAGAAATTAGTGTGTCCCTGAGAAGGCCTTGTCCAGTATACTGAGTGATCATGCCAAAGATTACTTCAAGACACAGAGACCTGCAACAAAATACATGGGATTATGTGCGTTAATTTACTTATTTAGCAAAGCACATGGGATTGTGTGCATTTATTTATTATTTATTAAGCTGCCACCCATCTTGCCTAGATCTATTTATTGATGTACTACATTTTTATACTATCCATATAATCAGATTTGAGGTATAGTGTGCAAAAACATAAAAATAACTCATAAAATATAATAAAACCAATCTACATCTAACATAAATTAATCCCTCCAATAATGTAGGAAGACATGAAAGAAGAAAAACTGGTAGCCAATTACCATTCCAGTTCCAAAGCCTCCTGAAATAAAATTGTTTCTACAGGAGTGTAAAATATCAGAAATGGGGGCACCAAGAACAAGGTATTACAAACGGCTGAAGCAACCACAGAAAAGCATTTCTCTCACCTCCCGCGGTGGTAAGAGCTTGAGTAAGTCCACTCTAGAAGGTCTGACAGTATGAGCAGAATCATTTTGGAGAAATATTCTGATATAAGCAAAGAAATGATCTAGCATATGTAAGAAGCTAAATGAGACATTAGAAATAGCTTGGAAATTATCAGAACTGCAAACAATTCTGAGAAAGCAGGAGACAAGGCATCTGAATGTCCCAAAGATGTTTTTCAAGGAGCAACTGGCTTTTTTTTTAAAGATGTTTTGCTTCTCATCCAAAAAGTTTCTTTAGTGAAACATCTTCAACCATGGGACAACCATGGCCTGATGACTGAGAATCTCCATAAACAAAACATTTGAATGATTATCTGCTGCTGAGACCCCTGACCCCTCTCTTCTATCTGTCTAGATTGAGTAGGGACCAAGAAGATTGCATGGTCTGGCCTGCACACTGGACCCCCTTGCCCATGCCATTTTTCTGGGTTGGGACAGGTACTTACTACTACAGGTAGTCCTCAACTTACAGCAGTTCATTTAGTGACCATTTGAAATTACAATGGCACTGAAAAAAATGACTTATGACCGTTTTTCACACTTACAATCATGGTCATGTGATCACAATACAGATGCTTGGCAACTGACTCATTTTTAGACAGTTCCAGTGTCCCAGGGTTACGTGATCACCTTTTGCGACCTTCTGACAAGCAAAGTCAATGGGGAAGCCAGAACAACTGTGTTCCTAACTTAACAACTGCAGTGATTCACTTAACAATTGTGGCAAGAAAGGTCGTAAAATGGGGCAAAACTCACTTAACAAATGTCTCACTTAACAACAGAAATGTTGGGTTCAAATGTGGTCATAAGTCAAGGACTACCTGTAGTAGGGACTGGCTGCTTAGCATGCCTAGAGAGAGTGAGTGAGGCAAGGGAGAGAGGATGTTATTTGAGAGTGTGAACAGGCATGATATTAGTGATGATCCAGTTGACAACATATATTTGGATTTTGAAAAGGCTTTTGACAAATCCTCCTACTCAAAATTTTGAGTAAGATTAGAAGTTATATTTTAAGAAGATAGAGTGTGATGGTCTATGGCAGGGGTGTCAAACTGCCGGCTCACGGCCTGGATGCGTCATGCAGAAGTTGCGCCCACCCAGCTCCAGTAAGGGGAAAAAAATTACGATATGCCATGACACATCATATGACACAGTAAGTTTGAGACCCCTGCTCTATGGGAATATCCTCAGGAGACAGGAAGAAGAGCTATAACCTAGACAACCATCATGCAAATGGTATCTCGGTCCTAAGAAGGAAAAGTAGGGTGGGAAGCATCTCAGAAGTGGCCCTTCCTATTTTTTTGGAAAGTAAAAGTAAAGGAGCAGAGAAATGCTTTTAGATTTTTAAGACTTTATTATTGTAAGTTTAAAATAAATGTAGTGTTGGTTACTCATGGTTTGTCCTTCTTGTCTTGTCTAGTCCAAAGAGCTGACATGGAGACAGATTGCAGTGGGTAAGGACAGAGAATCTGTTACAAATCTGTTACTAAAGCAATAAGGAAAAAAACAGTTTAAGTCCAGATCAAGCAGAAATTATGTGTATGTAGTTCAGAGAGACACCTCCTTAATTCACAAGGGTATAAAAAGGGGAGGAAACACATCACACTCAGACTTGCAAAATTCTCAATAAAAGTAGTTTTAACCTTCCTATGGAGCTGATTCTTGGTCTGGTATACTTGGTGGGACTGACATAGATGGTAGGAACCAGGAGTAAATGGACACTAAGATGTTACTTCTGGAAACATATATATTCTAACTATTTCTAACTAAGTAGTATACTAGAGAACTATAACCTCCATGACATTAACATTTCCGAATCATTTGTCCATATTATATCTTTTTTCAGATTTTGACGTGCTTGTTTATATATTTTTTTCAAAGTGATCAATCAATCAATAAAAAAAGCAAAAATAGAACATTTCTCGAGGGCCCCGATATATATACAATATTTTTGATGAATTAGTTTCATTTTTAAATCATAAGCATATTTCACATTTCAAATCTGAGTAGAAGTTTTCAAGATCTGGACCCTAAAATGTGTCAAGATCTCAAAGGTGGTACATATATGTTCTATGTTCTCCAAATGATTCAGGGAGTGTGTACGGCATGTTACCATCTAATTCTCCTATGTCCAACCCTTCTCCAATGTCCAACAAGTGGTATTGATTTATTTATTTTATTTATAGGCTTTTTTCTTCTTCTGAGAATTCAGGGCAATGTGCATGCAGTATCCTCCTCCTTCTCCTGTAACAATACTATGACATAAGCTTGGCTGTGCCAGAAGGAAGAATTTCAAATCATCCAGGGAGTTCTGTAGTCAACTGAGGGTTTAAAATCGGTCTTTCCTGATCCAAGTACAATACACAACACTACAGATAATATTTTGAAAACATCACTGCAAATGAGCTTGGCATATGGCTCTCATTAAAAGGAACCACCAGAGTTGTTAATTACCACTTTTGCTTATGTATCTTTACCAGAAATTTCAGACACAGCAAGAAAAGCTTATTCCAGATCTATAGCAGATTAATATTTGTTAACTACTGCATATAGAAGTGT